TTTATTGAAGCATACTAACATGCTTATATGCAGCCAATATTATGCATGTCGTCAATAGAAGATTGATTTATACGTAATTGCACATACATTTGAGAAACTAATAAAATTTATAAAACAACTTTACTACATTTGCCACATTACGAAGGTCACACATATATCACTAACGACATAATTTATAAAAATAATATAAAGTAGGTACTTGTAATAAACGTATTATTACCTATATATTATTTAGATGGTATATATGCTAACAATCCTATTTCAATAATTATTGATTATTATATTTTATTAAGTATAATAAATTTGTAAGAATTAACTGTTGATCCATGAAAGTAAAATATACAATATAAACAACCTTATGAGTAAAAGTATAATTTTATTGCTCTTGTTACACGTAAAATTGAATAAAGGGAATTAATAGCGCTCTCGACTTTATAAATGAATTCTCGCAAATTGCGATAATGATAATTTAATGCGGATAACGCCGGCTGTGATTTCGCTGAATCACCAATGTTCTTATCACTGAGTGCGATGTTGCAGAGCAAAAGATGAATTTCAGTGGTGTAAACATCAATAAAATTGCATAATAACAATTTAAGCAAATTGTTTATTCTTTCTCATCACAAGATTATAGTTTGATAATGCAATTTCAAATAAGTAGTTATATTTGATCTCATCCGAAATATCAATAACACGTAAAGCCATCTGGTTGTAAATTCTAAAATAATATCCATTAACACATCGCTAATTTAATCAATAATTATCGCTATTTTAAATATAAAAGATATAGATAGAAAAGAAAATATCGTTTACTTCTGATTACTAAGTGGGAAAACATTCACTGACACTCTGGCACAACTGTTTGGGTTGGCATCTATAAAACTGACGTAAATCGTTAAATCAAATCATCGGAAACAGCTCACCTTCATCTTGATCGCTGTTAAAAAAAATAATGATAATAAACTCACTCAGACACTCACTCAGACACTCACTCACATATACTGGACAGCTTTGCCACACTCCATCTGAAATAATTATTGAATTTTTATATTAACCCCTTAACTTACGATTTAGATTCGAAAATGTGGGGCCAAAGTTGCTCAAGCTGGCGCGGCGTTTGTGACTACATATTTTCCCTCATAGTGTACGGTTTATCACAAAAATAAAAATAATTTTGTGTTTTATAGTGTCGTATGAATAAATATTTTGTAATACTTGCGTTCACCATACCGGGCCATATTCACTTTTCGCCTAGCAATCGCACGCGGACTCTGCTCGTCATTTTAAGTTAAGGGGTTAATCTCGAAAGCTCTATTAAAATGATTAACAAAAAGATGTGAGTCTATATACTAATCAATAAATAATTTTATCTCCGTTTCTAAAGACAATACAATTCTTAAATAGTTTTAATTGTTTGTTAATCCATCTGAACCTCTCGAAAGCTCATAAAAAAGGTCGGATGTAGTTCAGTTCAGTATTATCATATTTATACCACTTTTTATAAGAATAAAAAGTACATATTTGTAACTCTGACTTGATATTATCAATCAATATAGAAATTCTTCTAATAAAATATCTTACGTATTTGAAATAATCGAGCTACTATTTGAGGAGACAGGATTTAATAAAACTGAATATTAGAACCACTATGGATGTTTTTATTGATTTCTTGTTAAAAATGTTTACATATAAGCATAATGAATCAGTATTTAAATAATATCTTGCATGCAGATTCTCAATGCACACTATTTTACATCGGTGGTGGCAAAGCGTCAAGATTTGATTCATCCAGATCGAAATTAATGAAACAATAATATACCGACCTAAACGAGAGAGCGGACGCTTTGCCATCACTGAACTTAACGATGGGATGTATTTTTCATTTAATTAATATATTTAGAAGTGCATATATTTAAACTTAAATCTAAAAATCAAATGTATTCACAATATCGATCACAAAATGATTTTAATGTTATTTCAAAACGTTTACAATTACTCTTTGATAGCGCGCTTATTGTTGGTTGTATAATATTTTGTTTTTGTTTGTTTACGTGGGAATGTGAACGCATTGCAGTGACAGTTTCTTGTTTTATATATATTTATAATTTATTAGTTTTTTGTTTATAATTATCTATAATGAAATATATTACTTTTTATTATATTATATAACAATGCAGAAATAATCGTTATAATATAATAAGTACTGTACGCAATATTAAGTATTCCCGTGCGGTGAAGATTAGGTATCCGGATGTATTGGTCGATTAGCAGAGAGATGCTAGGATGATGTTCAACATTGTTATGATTTGGTACATCACATTTAAAGTGTTGACTAGTGAAACAGATATATATATATATATATATATATATATATATATATATATAGACATATATACATACACATGTATATATAAAGAGTCAGAAAGATAACAGAGAGGTGAGTATAGCGCTATGAAGTTAAGCCATTTGTTCGAATACATTTCACTAAATTAATAACAGCACACGACTAACCCATACATCCGGACTGACAAGAAGGCTAAAATCATTCAATCACTAATTACAAGGAGAAACCAAGATTTGAAAACAGATAATAGGTATCGTTAAGAATGCAGAACGTCGAATGCCGTACTTCTAAATGTTTATAATATTCACTAGACTATAGAGTACAGTTAACACTTAAGTACGTACATACTAACTATTTATAACAATTTTTATTTTAAATTTATTTTCTTGTATATATATAATTTTTCAATGTATATATATACTTTTAATAATAAGGGGTAAGGTATTTTTACTCGTTTTCTGCATTTAAAACTAGCATAACAGAGCATCCAAAACATGTACATGTCGTTACATATTCGAGATCGCAAAATCGGCAGTTTTTTAGGTCTCTTGCTGTAAAAATCGAGCGCGCGTCTCGTGACGAGAGCGTTGGCCAGATTTTTCCGCAACATATTGAACATGTCCACATTTAATAATGCAAAAATCTCTATTTTTATTTATTCTTTTTATATTGAACAACGAAATCTTATTTACACAACGCAATTTATTATTTATATATATATACTTCTTTTTTTAAATAATATTTGTTTATTTTTTCTTTTAATCTTGTAACATTCGCTCTTATCACAACATTAAAGATAATATGTATGTTACCGTGTAGCATAGGCCATTCGGCTACAAATTCGGTCAATTCGGCGACTAACTGCGATTACAAACGGTCTTGTTTATATTTTTCTAATTTAGCGAGACAGCTTTATACACACAGGAGCGGTTAATAGCACGACGAAGGTCCGACATGGCGCGATCGGGACGCGCTTCTTCCATACGGCTTTAAATATATGCGACTTAGCAGGTACCATGAATAACGCGACTGTGAGGTGCTCCGGCGGTTATGCACATATCACGTATACCATATAACCGTTTCGCGATCAAAAACAAACGCCCCATGTTTACACGATAACGGATCCTTTTGATTAATATTATGAGCCGACAACGGAAACAAACGGATTCTCAAAAGGTCACCGTATAACCGGTAACCTTCGACAGCGCGCCGTATAACCGGGACGCTGGTTAGCAGCAAATGATGGCAACAGTTATCAAACGAGCCACCAACAAATGTTAATGCGTACTATACAATTAACATTTTACAGCAGCATTTCTCAGCAGCATACTCAAACATAATTGAATTTTTTATCACGTAATTAACGCAGTGCTATGCATCACACTCAAAAGTTCATTAAATTTTAATAATATTAAACAAATTTGAGCATGTGTTGGATTAAATTACACATTAAATTTACATAATTGAACTTGAACTAAACTCAAAGATTAACTGTATTTTGTTAACCTTACGATTTAATTCAAATATCACATTGAATTTCAATTACCTTTGAGAGTACGAGAAAAATTTACAATCTAATGTCATCAGATTTGTTTTCATCATTCAATTGCTACATATTAAGTCAGGCGCAACTTTTTGAGTTCAAAGATTAAATTAAGTACCGGCCGCCCGCAGACGGGCATGCGAGCTTTTCTCCCCCCACCCAATAGCCAAGCGGAAGAGGCTCGAAAGCTTTCTTATTTCCGCAAAGCTCGGAATCCGCCATCTTGGGAAACGCGAATCCGAAAACGGATATATGATGTTACGCAACGATTTCACTAGATACACATATACAAATGCCACATATATATACTTAATCGTACAACCCGTTTAATCCAAGATGGTTGACGGATCCTGATAAATGGTAGATTTATTATTTATTTTTATGTATACATACAATCTATATGATTATGAAATTTTGTTGAATCATCCGTTATTGTATTTGAGGTGAAATATCAATATATAATTGTCATAAAATATATTTACATACAACAATATATATATTTATATCAAATATATATTATGGTGCAAAATATGATCAATACTGTATATTTAACATACACGCGCACATATGCATATATATATGTATATATATATATATATATATATTTATATGCATATAAAGCAATATCAACATCTATTTAGTTTTCGATATTCTGCAAATAATAATGATCTTAAATTACAAATAGAATATTACATTTAACAGCTAAGAATTTGCAGTTTCACAAATACTGCCAGTCACCAAATGGTATTCAGAATATCATTCAAAACAATTTAGCCAATAATGTAAGATGAAATACAGATGATTATAGAAACATTCAGAATTTATACACTATAAATATGAACATTAATACTATGTACCACTTAAAATGTGAAATCTGAATACGTCATTTGATGACTGCGTGTAACAAGAACTTGTTATAGATTATAACAATTATAATTTAATATATCTTTTTCATTTTGTGAACCCCAAAAGAGCATTCCTCGCGTTCTTGACACGACTTGTGTGTGTGTGTGTAGTTGTGTATGTATGTATCATGTAGATGTGTGTATCCTTTATTATTCAACGGTATGGTGTGATCGATGATTTATCTCTTAGTTATTGTGGAATATGCGCTTTTATCATTTGAATTTATAATTTAATTACATAACTCTACAACACTCGAAGTAAATTGCTCAGCCTCTACTTTTTTGTTAAAATGTTTAAACAGAATAATACCCGAAAACCGCGCAAAATGTCTACGGTAATCAACTGCCACCTATTATGGCGCGGGGTTAACGAGATAATCAAGTAACTATTTTATTTATTATAGTTGAACTCTCTTTCTCTCACGGACTAAGTATTTTTTTAACCTTAATTTATTATATCATCATAATTAATTCTTAAACTCTTTAAAGTAATTGTTTTTATTTAATTAATATCTAAGAGGCGGGGATTGTATCTTATTTATTTTATTAAAGGGGAGAGGGGGGAATTTTTTTATGTTGGGCACGGCCCTGCCTTCTAACGTTTCATGTTATGTATAGGATCGTACAACTGTTTTGTGCTTTTGTACGATTTAGTTAAAACTTTAAATTTTTGTTAATTTTTTGGTTACGCGACGACTCGTGAATCCACATTAGACGAGGTGACTCTCTATCCAGTGCTTCCCAAACTTCAAATGTTTTACTTGTCACCTCTCGAATCAAACACTTGGTACTTAATAATAACTATTAATGTGTCGTGTAAATGTGATGTCGATTGTTTAGTGAGTGTCGCTTTGCGAGCGCGTGTTTTGTGTGACGATGGAATGATCTTGTGTCGTGTAATATGTTCGTGTATCATGTAAATGTTATTTATGTAGATGTATGTTTTGGTATTTTCTTGTTATATTTATCTATTTATTTATTATGCGTTGGTAGTGTTAAAGTTAAGACGGCCGATGAATCGTTGTTGATAAGCGTCTGATGCGGCGCGTCACTGCTTTCCTTAGAAGTCGACCATGAGCTCGAAGTGCACGGAGCCCCTCCTGTCGGCTCTGTCGTGGATAATGTTCTGCGCCCATGCCTTGCACTCAATGTTGATCAAGACTCCAACTGAAAACGATTTAATAGCAATTAGTAAATATCAAGAGTGCATTTTTTAAAAGTATTGCCTTACGCATCTATCTCTACTACATTAAACAAAATTGTAATTGGTTGAACAATTAATGCCAATCAGAGGTAATGGATAAGCTTCCATTATATCAAAGGTGATAAAAACTCTAATATGCCAAAATAAATTTGAATGCCCCAAAGTATGTACCGAATTGGTTAAAACATAAAGACCGCGACATGGACAGAATCAACGATAAAATACTAACATATTCAGACCATTACAAAATCCGCCTCGAGAATCATCCAAACTCACTTGGCATAGAACTACGCCACAGCCCTACCAAGGCAATATTGAAAAACAAATTTATGTTACATTAATATCTGTCAATTTTCAAAATCTATTCAAAGAAAATTCAGAAGAATTTGTAGTTTCGAAGTCATATTTTGTATTCTATAGTTTTATTTGCTCATTTCAAGACAGGTCTAAAAATTACTATTTCATTAGAAAAAAAAATTATATGCAAAGTAATTTTATATTGAACCAAAACAATTCTAAATTCAAGATTGAGAATATAAAGTCAGACGTATGATTTGTTAATAAATATTATTATATTTCAACCCAAAAATGTTAATAATTTTATATGGAATAGAATAGACTAAAAATTAATCCTGAAATGTTTCATTACTAAAGAAGTTCCATATTTAGAATAAATGCGCTGCCAATTTATCCTTATAAAATAACTAACTGGTCAATTAAATATTACTACGAATATCTTATTCGATTAAGGATTTTCTGAAAAATTTTATAGTGTCAATTAAAATTTGTATCAAATTCAAAATTTGCATACAATATGTAAAAAATAAGAAATTACGATAAATTATGAAAAAGTACAGAAAATAACTATCGAATGAATTCAAATAGTTACAGAAATTAGTTAAAGTACATTCATGATAAACGCCTTTATGAAGATTTCAGGAAACTCAGCCGTGGGTCGCATCAAATATGAAATTAATAATTTCACGCTTCACCAAACAAGAAATACCTAAGGGAATTCATTGCATAAGATCCTCCTAGATTTCCGGAAATACCTTAGTACGTTATATCGGTTTCATCATTACGTCACTGATTATAACCATCATCACTGAAATTTTTGTAAACGTCATAAATGCCACTATAAAATACTGATTAATTTGAAAAAGTCTAAAAATAACACGATGCATCATAAAACCCGAGCGGAATGCAATATAAAATAGACAGATATTGACTTTGATGGTGATTATTGATTTCAAATGTCATTAGAGTAATTATATAGGATATGCAATACTCGCAGCGAATGTGGGCACATATTAGTGAACGAGCATGAATTGAAATATTTTCACATACAAATAGTACTTTGTCAGATAATACCAGTACATTAATATGCATAACTCATGCGTCATAATTTAATTTTGCAAGGTACATTTATTTTATTGGGTTAATTGACGCGTGAATTGTGGTTGGCAAATTCACATTTGTGGTTATCTTTACACGCTAACAATCAGAAGAGGTCGTAATATAAATATAATTATTAAATCATTAAATATGCTTTTGATTATTAATTATTATCTAACTCATGTTAATAATAAAATATAAAAATGGTCAATCATGAACCCTTGCTATATTATATTGACCCTCTATGGGTCTGCGTTACCTTTGAATCACATTCCAATTTTTTCAATATTTTACCAAATAATTACAAGTTTTTTCGTAAAATGATGGCTAATTCTTAATTCTATAACGTTGCTTTGATCTTGATTCTAGAACCGTTAAAGCTTTTTCACCTAAAACAACATGTTCATATAAACCGCATTCCTTGAAAGTCTCATAATTTATTAATACCAAAAAATTTGTTTAAGTAGAATTGTTGGTTTTCCATTTGCTTATATAGGCTTAGAATTACTAAATTTTTGTTTTCCTAACTTTTTTGGATGTAAGACAAAAATTTGGCCGATATAGGGTTAATATTGATATGGACTTGCAAGTATTAGAAAGCACAAAAAAACTTGAAATAATTTTGAGGAGGTAAAAAAAATTGAGCTTAGTATAATACTTTAATAATTCTTTCAGAAAATTATCTTTATGAACTACGAATAGCCTGCGTCGTTGAAATGGAAACAGTATCATTAAATATCTTGAACTTTTGCGATAAAAATTATTTAGATTTCAATTGGCAATCATTAGTAGGATAAGAGGCAAAATATAATCTACTTGATATGCAACAAAATTTATGTTAAGTTATTCCATTCTTCTATTTTACAAATGAATTACATCTATAAAATATTGAGAGCTTAAAGAGTAAAAGCTCATTAATAATGGTAAATAACTTCTTATTTACGATATCCCTAAATAACTTGTTAAATATAAAAACTTATACCGTCTATAAATTATTCCATGCTTCTATTTTCCAAATAAATCACATCTCTAAAATATTAAGGGCTTAGTAAAAAAAAGTAGAATATTTGTCTTTAATAATAGTAAATAACTTTTTATTTACGATATCCCTAAATAATTTGTTTAACATAAAAAGTTATATAGTTGGCATTAGCAGTATCTGCTGACCCGATTCTGAGGGTTGGAAACATTTTTTTTCACCCTCCCATCCCCATGCCATTCGGAACAATCGCCCGACTTCGATCCATCCCCACCCTCCGTTGCTCGGAAAACTTCGCGAAAATTCGCTTCTGGAAAATCGGAAAACGGGCAAAATCATGACGTCACATAGCACGTCACGACCTACAAAGCGTGTTCTGGCCGGTCGATGCGCTGTTACCACGCGGGCGCGAACTAACGGTTGAATTAGGCCTATATCTTGGACTACAAATGAAGGAACCTCGAACAAATATATATATATATATATATATATATATATATATATATATATATATATATATATATATATATATATATATATATATATATAAATAAAATCCGACATTATATAAGCCGATCTTCTATAAGTCGATCGATAAATTATCTGATGGGTCGAAGAAACTTTACAATAGAAATGTGAGTGGTTACAGCTAAAATTATACATTTATAAATATATTATGTTCTAAATATTTACAACAAATTCAGATGCTCATGTATAGAATTAGATGATAACTATATTCATAACATGTTTTAAACTATCAAAATGACGTGAAACTAAACTTCATTTCTAATAATAGTCTGAAAAAATATCTTTTTATAATTTCGAACTTCAAAATTTATGGAACTTTAAGGGCACCCAATTAAATAAAATCAATGATTTAATTATATAATACTTCTTAAAAACTACAAGATATATAGATACAATATCCATAGCAAGGAAAAATGGATGAAAATGCTAAAATGCTAAATATACCTATTATTATTATATCTCCAAATGCATTAGCTTCATAATTTGATTCATCACAATGCAGTTTATGATAACAATTGAAATGATCCGACTAATTGATCATACGCTAAAAAAATGAATTATTCTCACACCGTTAAAATTTTATTGGAAAAAGTACAGTAAAAATGATGTTATGTGAGGAAGTGATTTTCCTTGTCTCGAAATTAAATTTTCCTGTATAAATGTAACATTCATGATAATTAAATTATACATCGATTTAACGCCAAATGTCTTTAAAATAGAATATACCTCAGAAAAAAATTCTATATCATTCACTGAGTTTGAAATTCAACCAATCCCAATGTTGGAAAGTTAAATAATACACTATTCAATATCAACAATATTTTCCATTATAAATAAATTTAATTGCAGTTTACGATAAGAATTGAAATGATCCGATTAAACAATTATAAAAGAAAAAAAAATCCCACATCATCAAAATTTTGTTGGGAAAAGCGCAGTAAAAATAGTGATTTTTCTTTTCGCGAAATTCAATTCGATTACTGAGATAGTAGCTTGATGGCATTTAAATTATTCAACGCTGAAGTTTTAAAATAGAATATACCATCGAGAACTGTATTTAAAATTCAATCAATATATGTATTTAAAAGTAAATAATACACTATTAGATAGATATGACCATTTATAATGCAATTTTCTTTTATAAAACTATATTATAATTCACACTATGTCTCATTCCTTAACATTTCATCCCAGCAAGTTTTAGGAACCTAATAGATTCGATTCGAGCATAATGATCATTCTAGATGTTAGCCTTAAAAAATATCTACTCTTCGAACAAAACTTTGAGCTGGTCTTGAAAAGTTGTGTATCCCTAAACTTTCCTAAATGCTGCTACCTTGTAAGCAGCATCTAATGTCAGAGGCAAATTATTCGTCACAGTTTTCTTATTGTTAGTTTGTCTCCTAAGGGATCTCTTAAATAGGTAGGCAACGTTTATACGTCTGTTTCTTCTTGTTTCTAGTTTGTTTGCGACGGAACTATTAGCGATAGGTTCTTGGACTAAACTTTTAGGACGTAAATTAGAGAAAAGATAATACAACTTTGTGTAAAACGAGGTAGTTCCTCCACACTTGTCAACCGACTGGAAGAACTAGAATTTAGACGTACGTAAGAAACATGAAATGAAATATCTTGTGATGATTCGAGGTCTTAAAAATATATTTAATGGACTTCACCAAATGAGTTTCAAATTTAGTGTATTTTAGTGATTTCAAATATATCTGAATAAATAAATATATTTGAATATTAAGGGGCCGATCCTGCGTAAAACACATCAATGTTATTGCAAGGCTATGTTTACGAAGGGCTTCTCATATAAAATGGTACTAAAATCCGTCAAAATGTAATGTTCTTGCTGTGCGATTTGGCGTTTTGCAAATAAAATGTAACTTCACTCATATGTTATTATGCCACCTCACAAAGTCGCAGTTATGATATAGGTTAGATTTTCTACTTAAAACGCCCAACTGCACAGCAATCACATAGAATTTAGATAGTATTTAGTCCCATTTTGTATGAGAAGCGCGTAACATAGCCTTGCCATAAAATTAGTCTATTTACAGCAGAATCGGTCTTAAATTCTCTTATTAGGATCCTTCAACGTCGGATAGTGATTCCACTCAATTCTCATATCTAACTACCTGGAAATTTTATATTGTACCTATAAATTTGATTATTATACACATACCATATCAATCGATTCCTTTATTTTTTATCTACTGATATTTTTTACCATCGTGGGTTTTTGAACTTCTTTTGACTTTAATGAAATATCGATGTTTTGAGCGCTTTATCTGATACGGATTGAATCCATCGGAAAAGCGGTGGGATTCAGACACAAATGATTCAATAAAGCTACTGACCTATGAAGGAAAATCTCTTTGCATTAATAAGAGCTCTTGAATATGTTGGCATTCGGCCAAAGGTATTATTATACATAATGAATGCAATTCTATTCTTTTCATCTTTACATTTTTACGTGAATGGATGCATCATTTCATTTGCATACATTTGTATTTGAATTATATGCAGTGTTATGAGCGTATTATAATGTACTATATGATGCGCTGATGATCCTGGATAAGGTGTGAAAAAGATCATTCCTTCGTAAAAACTGATACCAGAAAAAATATTTGCAAAAGCATGAAAACTAGTTATAATGTGTGGCAAGATTTAAAAATATTTTTTAAGGAAACTTATATAATTAAATTTTTTTTTTTATTTAAATCCTTGTTAGAAAGCTCTGTAAACGTAATGTTCAAAAATATTTCTTCGAAAATATTGGAATGTGAAACAGATGAGATAAAAATGGGTTTAATATAGCGAAAAACCCGTATAAAATAGCATAAACTATTATTTTCAGTTAACATATTTAAAGCTGAAAACTCGACCTTGAACCTCTAAAATGTAATTTTACATACATATCGTGATATCCTTATACAGGATATCGATCTATAGGAACTCGAAGTACTACAAAACTTTTTCTAGCTCGACAATATAACTGCCTAACTTAATTTTTGACATAAAACTTCAGAAAATTTGACTGGGCGAATGTCGACCGTTATTACTCCTGATGTTTATACATTATAATTATATAAAAATATAAAGACCCTAAATCAGTCTGCAATCCTTCGTTAAGAACTTCACTAAAATCTAAACTCTACAATCGACACATTATCTACTCTATATTAACTCATTGTCAGTATTAAGAAATTGATTCAGTACATTTTTCTTGTTAGTCTGATACAGCAGTAACTATATCTGGTTCTTCGACAGGAAGACAATTAGCGATTAGGAACAAAAATTCTCAAAAAATACATTTAAACAAAATAATATTTAATACCATTTAAGCATATTTGATACTACTAATTTGTAAATATTAATATGTGGAAGTTATATATAATGTAATCAACTTTTACCTTTCGGCCGCTCAAAGTACACTGCGACTAATGGGCTGAGATATCCTTCAACATTGGTGAAAGGGTAGTAAAATCCTGGGAAACCGCGGCGAGGGATAAATTGAATGGCACCCATATTTTCAACATCGGCTGGGTTCTCACCCTCGCAAGATACCCACACTGTATCCATCTGAACATAAAAAATAGATTAGATGAGGATAACCATTAAGATAATACATTTTCAATTATACTGTTAAATCAATTTTATTACTAGTGAATATGTAACTTCAGAACTAAGTTGATCACTCTCATTCAAAGTTTTGATTTAGTTACATGCATCTACATGCTACATCAATGCGTTTCTTAATATGAGAAAATCATCTTATACTAGAACGTGTTCCATATTCTCAAGAGATTCATTATTTAGATTTCATGGGATTCGCAAATTACAGTTCATAGAGAACAGGATTCATTAATTACACTTCATAAAGTTAGGAGTTCTTAAACTACAGTTTGTAGAGTACATAAAATATTCAGTATTTAGGGATAGGATTGCTTACCCTGCAATTTAAATATATTGTAATATTATATTTACTGTTATTGTAAAGTTACAAAAAATAATTTTAATTATAGTAAATATCGTTTCTAACGATCTGCCAATAAAAAGTACTAACATTTGTACCTATCAACAATGAAATTGTTACCTAAATTAAACTATTACCAGAATTTAATTATTATTCGCAAAGATAAACATCAATTTAAGTAAAATATTTTATTAAGTAAAAAAGATTTAATTAGGTATGGTTTTATTTTCCTTCATTACGGTAATGAAAATAATTTCTTTCCAATGATTTTCTCTAGAGACAGTTTAATGACGTGGCTATTATAAGTGTGAAATTATGATTAAATTACAGATTCATAAATCTTTTATCAAAATCAGATTTAAAAAAAAATACATACAAATTCCACTTTTCTACGCTAGCAACTAGATTAAGAAATAATATTCAATTAGAATCAATGTCGGATGGCTAGTTTTGTAAATAGTTTCATTTTTGAATTTAACCAATATTAACCAATATTATTTCATATCAACAATTAATAAATATTATTTAGTTGAAAGTTATTGCTATCACTTATCTATTATCAATATGAAATAAAAATAGTTGGAAAAATTGATAACCCTAAAAACATCTTACATCTGAATTTATTGATTTCTATACCAAAGCCTCTGTAAGCTGATTTTCCACATGATGCAAAATTTGCGCTTCATATCCGTATTCATGAAACGGAATCCATTTCATCCTGAATTATTACACGAATAGGTTGGGTTATATCACGTATTATATTATTAATACAAGTGTTTCGCAGGGTCAACAGTAACTTATATTACGTCTAGATATTGCAAGTTACAGATCACCAGAAGTTTGCCCGAACTTCCTTGATTTCAAATTGTTTGCACGTTATGCGACGACATTATTTGTCACGATGAATAGAGTGAAATGATACTATATTCAAAATAAAATTAAATTAAAGGATAGAGTAACAGAATCAGTATTTAGCCAATTCAATGTTAAGATTATATATATGAAAAAGCGAAGTTTTACTGTACTTATTTTTATATGACAACTCAAATGACAAAGAGTGAGATAAAGAAGTTAAACTATTATTATTCATACTTCTTTCTTCATTATTCTCATATATAATATTTTTTTGAAGGTTTGAAGTTTCAAACAGAGATTTTGAAGATTACGAATTATCAAAACAACTTTATTACGATTTTCTTTGAATTTGAACTAATTTAATAAATTTAGATTATAACCAGCCATCACCTTGATTCTTACGACATTGCTATCGAGAGATAAACGGCAATGTTTGAAAATCCACAAGAAAAGTATTTTCTTTAGTTGTGAGCACTGTTGTTTAGTTTACGAGACCTTAATATAATCTTTAAATATAGATAATTTAATTTTTTTGAGAAACAACAAAAAAGCATTTCAACTATGATGCAACTAGCTGGGATTTTTACTGAACATAGTCAGATGATTGTTTTATTTGATATGTGTTATTTGTTATGATATAATTGGTTTGGTTTTCACAATATAGTTGTTCGAAGTTTGTGCCCTTCCCTACCCTATGACAAATCGAATTTGCAATTATATTGAACATAAAATTGATAAATATATTAAAATTTTAACTTACCGTTTTAGGGTTGCGTCCTCGTTCGCTAGCGATGTGGTCTTTCAAGTCTTTTGGCATTTTCTCGGGAAGAACGTCGGTGCTGTTATAATATTGCGGTTTCCAGCCGTAAATCTTAAAATGAGAAAAAATCACGTAAAATGATTTAGGTCCATATAAATAGAATATATATACGATAGCGTGTGTTAAAACTATGACGTACTTGAGTTCTATAATTATTACGTTGACATAGTTGCGTGTTTAACGTATAAAACGTTTAAAAATAATTTCGATGATATCTAGTGTCATACGTAGAGACATGTACATTGAAATTACAATATATGTTAACAAGGTACAAATTTTTCTACTTGTATAAGTACACAAATAAGCTGAGTAATTGTATGTATCAATTCATACTGAAACTACTACTAGTAAGAAAAATAAAACTGAAAAAGAATTAAAAAATAGAAAATAGTAAAAAATTAGGATATGTGTTTTGCGTTAAATCAGAAAGCATCCTTCTGTTATAATTTACAATATAAATGTGTTATTAAATAAATATTATTATTAAAAACTGAAGAAAACTTCAAGAATTGGTTCAGATCAGAAAATGCTTTTCTACTGATATCTAAGGTGTAAAGTTCCAAGAAGTAGAAAGCAATATGTTTTAATATCTTCCAATGCTGAAGGCAATTTCTCTCAGCTCAGAATATAACTAGCAATATACTAGTCCATACGCAGAATTGCAAACCACACAAAAAAGTTTAATCTCACAGATATCTTTCTTCACCTGTGGGAAGTGAAATAAATGTGTTTCCGTTTAGGGTATAAAAACATTTATTACGTGTTCAAATTAAATACGATTCGAATAACTTTCAAAATGAGGTATTTAGAATACTATATTGCTGTAATCTACACGAGGTTTACCTATATCACCTGCGCTTTAATAAGGAATATAGTTTCTTATATATAAAACTATTTATAGGACGTTTAAATTAAGCTTAAGAAGACACTAAGTTCTATGTGATTTACTTCTTTAGAACACGAAAAAGTAAAGTAAAATCACCAAAAATGTATTTATGCGATAGCAAGGTAATTAAGATTTTTTTTATATATTGAATTAAAGTTATGACATTTTGGTGAATATAATAATAATAAACTATAACAATTATTATTAGATTACGAGTTTTGTATCCTATCAGTTGAGTTACATTATATCGTTTATTATGTATTTATTTTTTATATTCAATACATTTTATTGAGAAGATAAAGTTAGTTAAATTATATAAACTCTTTTAATATTTTAATGCACAATTTCCTGGTCAATTGTATTTTATATTTAAAAAAGTGAAAAATGAACAAAGCAAAAAGTTATATATAGTTAGAACTTCAAAATAATTTAGAACGTTATGATAAAGGTATGTATGACTCATACATACCTTTAACATAACGTTCAAAATTATTTTAACATAATATCAATTACTCATACAGTATGAGTAAGTGATAGTATGTTAAAATTTGCTAACAACTTGCCCCAAATCTACTGTATTAATGTATTGCCAACATGTAAGTTCAAAATAAACAAAAAAAGTTTTTTTATATATTATTGGAATATCAAAGAGAAATTAAGGGTTCTATGAGCTTCTGTGATGATTTTTACGGATACTCAAACCGAAACCGAAACCCAAACATATGTATTTTTTTGTTTATTAAATCAAAATATAAAAATTTTCTCCTTGATACTATTCATTTAATTATTTGCTGTTATTTGTGATTATAGTAAGAATATTTTTTTATTGCAATATACCTACTGAATCATGTATAAATCTCGACTTTCTTTTATTACGAGTTCGTATCCTATAAGTAGAGTTACTTTATATTGGTTATCATGAATTTATATTTTATTTTCAATACATTTTATTGGTAAAATTAATCATCGGAATATATTTACTCTTAATAATTATTTTATTGCACAATATTCTGATCAATTGTACTTTATATGTAACAAGGTAAAAATAAAAAGCAAAAAGTTATATCTAGTTAGAAGTTCTAAAATAATTTAGAAAGTTATGATAAAGGTATGTATAAGCAAGTATGTTAAAACTTTCCTCAATTTACTCTATTAATGTATTGCCCACATGTAAGTTCAACATATACAAAAGAAGTTCTTTTTATATATATTTGGAATATCAATGAGAAATTAAGGGTCGTTTTACGGATACTAAACCCAAACCCAAAGCCAAACGTATGTATTATCTCTATAAGATAAATTTTTATTACAATTTTTGTAATAGTGATAAATTTTTCTTATACATGTAGCAATGCCGGGTAAGGGTTATTTTCATTCGGAAATATTGTTATCTATATTTTCAAGTGAAACAGATGTCACTACTGCTTCAAATCGAAGCGGGTATCAAACCAGGCCCTTTGATTGAAATCAAGAATACTAAGTTATAAATCAGAAATTGGGGGTCCTATAATTTGTGGTGATTATGATGATTTGACTCAACTAACTACGTCGATCTTATAGATGGTAACCCGAGTAGTTATCCAATCTCTATATGATAAACTTTATACTACAATTTTTGTAGTGCTGAATTTTTTTTTTGATGCAGCAATTCCCGGTAAGGGCTATTTTCACTAAACATTTGCTCTTATTTTTGAAGTAAAAAACCAGTGTCACTTCTGTTTGACATAGGGCTGCCTGAGGCGGATAAAATTTGGAAACTCTTGCACTATTCACTAATGTTGAGATGTAAGATTAGAAACTAGGAGTCCCATACGTTGTGATGATTTGATTTAATCTAACTAACCACGTCGATTTTGTAGATGTAACCGAAATAGTTATCCTATCTCTATGTGATGAATTTGATTACTACAATAATGATGCATTTTTTTGTACATGCAGCAATACCAGATACGGGCTATTTCACTTGGAAACAAATTGTGATCTATATTTGAGATTGCAAATTTAATTCTTAAGGGGCACACCAAGTGTGACAACCTAAAAAAAAGCCATTTTTGGGAATTAAAAACATAAAAAACTAGTGAATCCATGTATTAAAAATTTAAAGGTTTATTTAAAACATGTTTTGAGAATACACAGTAAAATTTTTAAATATTTTGAAATGATACGCGATCTCTGGCGTCGCCGAAAAAATGATCGTTATACTATATACTATATATTTCTTTTTTAAATGGTTGTAACTCAAAAACTATTTAAGATATCGATTTAAATTTTAGTTTGTTGTTTTTAAAGGTACAACCCATCGAAATATGGAAAAAAAATAAATTCGATTTTTTGAAAATTTCACACTAGGTGTGCCCCTAATTTGAAATCGAAGTTAAGAGTTCTATAAGCTTTGACTTAAACTAACTACGCCCGTTTTATAGGCGGTAAACACAAATAGTTGTCCCATCTCTATATCATAAGTTTCATTACTACAATTTCTGCAATGATGATTTTTTTATTGTTGCAGCAATGCCGGATTATTTTCACTTGAAAACATATTGCGATCTATATTGTCACAATGGCTCGACATCAGGCTGCCCGTAGCGGGTATCGAATCTAGGACCTCTAGGAGTGTTAAAAAATACGTACATTTTAGTGTACATTTCAGTACTATTTTTAGTAGTATATTTCAAATGTATAAAAGTAAACCAATTAAATAGGAGTGCAAAACAATGCATTGCAACTCCAGTAGCTATAATTGTAGAGTCAGTTGCAAAGTAGTTTTCCTATTTGAATAGGTTGAATACATTATATTCAAATTGCTAAATGAAAAGTAAAGATTATAAAATATTATTATGGCCGTTGTAATGAAGGTTTCCGTTGCCTGATTTATACGGAAGCTCGCAGCCATAGCGCAGCGTGACTGGAGTTAAGCTGCCGGGGGTCTGGTCTCTCCTTTAGTGATACATTATTAAGAGTTCGGAAATAGAAGTGTGGCCTTGAAAGAGTACGACCGGATTGCAAATGTCAAAAGCCGGTGTGTCGTGTAGCACGCATGCATTATATATTAAGGTTTGTATTAGATTAGGCCACTATCACACCGAGGGTTTCTTCTATCTTCCGGTAGGTTCATACTATGTGTGTTAGTGGTTACAAAGAGTAAACAACGAGTCAATCGATTTCAAAGTACTATTGTGGAAAATTTCCGAACAAGGCATTATGATTGATTCATTCTTCTGTGGATAACAATACAAAAAAGAAATCTATAAGCAAAATGGATTGTTCTGATTAATGGAGCGGCGATATCAAAACGAATTTAATTACCTAACCATGGGCGAAGTTCAACAAAACAAAATTTTATAAGGTGCAAAACCGACAATATGTTATGTAAGTAGCTTTTTTTAATTTTTTGAACAGCGATCAGAACTTATGGGTTCTATGAGCTGTTGTGATTAATATCCTACAAAACTACGTTTGTTTTATTATAGATGACAACCCAAAACAGTTGTCTCATCTCTATGTGCTGAACTGTTATATTACAATTACTGTAATAGTGATGCATTTAATTGGTGCAGCAATGCCGCATTAGGGCTGTTATCACTTGGAAACATATTGCTTTCTATATTTCCAAGTAAAAATCGTTGTCTAACTGCCTGACAACAGGCCGCTCGAAGTGGTATCGAACCCGGGACCTCTGAAACAATTCCCGTCGCTCCTAACCGCTTACTCGCTTACCTACGGGCGAGCCCTATGTAAGTAGTGACTACGGTTTTTACTTGGAAATATAGGTAGCAATATGTTACAAAGGGAGTAGGCAAAGCTGCATCATACTGAATCATAAGTCAGCCCTATTAGATAAATTCTAATACTAAAATATTAAGTATAGATGGATCACACTGTGGGTTACCATCTAGAAATACGAGGTGAGGAAAAGTTTTAGCCTAACAGCTTATGCGACGTAAAGTTCTGATTTCTGTTATATAAATATTAAAAAACATCTAATCAGTAGAGCATCTTAAAAAACTTCTGCATTAATGAAATATTCGCCCAATTACAGTTTTTGTAATAACAATTTGTCACACAGAAATAGGACAACTGTTTGGGTTGCCATCTGTAGAATAGACTAGTATAAATATAACATAAGTCAAATTAGCACAACAGTTTATAGGACTCAAGTTATTCTCGACTAATATCAAGTGAACTAAAGAGAGATTTCACCAGGCAATGCAAATTTCTAATAAAATAAAGAACTTTTCAGCTTGTTAATTTCACACGATTATTTGAAATAGCTCCATCATTCAAGCAATCTGCTGTATCAAATCAAAGCAATTGAACATGTATGAAATACATCAGATTTGATGTTAATAATTAGATCCTTAACGTGAAACTGCTCATTTTTTGAGTAATTTTTACTCAACGCACATCATTGCTTATTTAGAAGTTCTAGTAAGAAAACCTGAAAACTAAAGGAAAAAAGCTCTCATCTCAAAAAACTTCAAATATCCTAGTACTTGATAAAATATATAAGGAATATTGATACTTATTACAAAGAGGTGTTTATAATTGTATAAGAGAATGAAAAAACAGTAAATTAATAAAAACTGTTTCATGAAAAAATAAACAAGTGGAAAAAATGTGAAAACAGAGTAAACATGAATTTCCTTAAGGCAGAGGACAAGTAAAAAAAGGTACAATTTACAGTAAATAGTAGATGAAAGTATACGCGAAAAGCAGGCAGAAAAAAAATAAAGTGGTATCAGACTTTATCATGTTTAAAAATGTTTCCAAATCGAGGGCTTCTTATAAGCCATCAGTCATCTACAAACCATATAATTTATTTTTATTTTTAGATAGAATTACGAGCCTTGCAATACGATTAGATACATATGCAACACAAATATCATCTTACCATATAACAATTAACATATTAAAAAAATAGAAATCCGAAAATGAATCGCAACAACAAGAGCGCACTCTTCATAGCGTAGTTGAAAAAGAAAAACTTTAGATATTCTAGAAAAATTATTTTAAGAGCAGCTATTAAAGTTTTCATAAAATCATATTTTTTGTAACAAACCTACACAAGTTAAAAAAAGTAAGTTTGCTAATAAGTTTCAATCATCCCAACTATTTCTATCACAACGACCCCTTTTTCCATAATGTACGTTGTAGATATCACATCAAAGTGTTCAGATTATATACCTGTCCATTATAACGAAATATATTCATATTTCTAGATATAAATGACGTAGTATTACGGTATTATTGTGATGCTTCCAGATATAAAATGAAACTAACAAGCGAGCTTTTCCTTCACGATAATGGTTCTCATGAATAATTGAAGAAAAAGCGCAACGGATAGCTCATATTATAAATACGCCAGCTGAATATAGAGCATACCCCATATCTAGTTATTGGAATATTTTACAATTGAAGTTATATTTTTCTAATAGAACTTTAATATTAATGGTACATACTAAATTGCAAAATCAATGATAGTATTCTCTATTCAACTACAGGCGACATATAAAGGATAGATATAGAAGATTTAGGATAAAATACAGTTTTTTTTCAATGTAATATATCTTCCCGTCGCAAAAGTTAGAGTCTTGGTCGTTACCTGACTTTCCAGCTACTTTATCCTACAATTTCTGATTATTGATCTTCTAGAATAAAATTTCTAACTTCTAACCCAAAGTGGGGCATCAACGAATAGTTTTATAACACATCATTTAAGGTTAATTTTTGCTTATTTATTAAATTTATTCATTTCTATTTTTTTTAAATCCATCTATTTAATAAGAAAATATTGTACTTTAAAATTTACACATTTATAACATGAAAGTTAGAGTTACTAATAAATACACTAAGTTTCTATATTTCATATCTTGACTTAATCTTAAATAAAATATTGTTTTGTAAGATATAGTAACAGTTCTTTTTTCAGTTGGTAATGTACTATTTCTATTGCAGTTTATTGAGAATGTGGTTTTCTTGATTTGATAGAAAATATTTGATCATATATCCAATTCAAAATTCGCTCATAAGTATTCAAAAGTATATCTACTTTTTCACTAATAAATGAACTCAATTAATTTAAATAAAATGCATTGTTATCTCGAGTGAAGATGAATATTAGCTTGAATCGTTAAATTGCAAAAAGTAGATTTGTTAGCTCAACCTATTAAGTGTTACTAAAGTTTAATTTGTTTACTCGTTAGATTAATTATTATATATTGCAATTATAAAGCTTGTGAAAAAGAACCTATACGCATTAAGAACAATAAATATTATAATAAGATGTATTTTTTCATTGCTTGTTAACTTGGTCAATAATTATGATTAATAATTGATAATAAAGATTATATTTAACAAATAATTTATGATATTTATGATGATAATTATCATAAACCCGTATCTAACAATAAGAAAAAATCACAAATTACAAGTTTACAATTTCAGTTATTTTTGAAATCGAGTTATTTTCGTTAAGTTGACTTTTTTGTATTGGTTATAAGTTACGAGAAAAATAGAGCGACATGATATAAATTGAAGTTTTTTTCAAAAGTATTGAAAAATATTTATTTATTTATTTATTTATTTATTAGACGCCAATCGGCTATATACAGTAAATTAGATACTTTGTATAAAAATGACATAATTTTGTTTGAGTTTATTAAAATTTTTTGCACTACATGCAAATATACATGTTAAAGTAAGCATTTATGTTAAATTCATTTTACTAAATGCCAGGGGAAAAAATGCAATCAGCGAGCTAGATCCGGTCCAATTAATTTATCCAGATCAGCGCCGATCAAAACATGAAAAAATATGTTTGCTATTACACATATAGATGCTATGAATACCCTTTTTCCAGTAGTTATTAACGAGTGTTGATTTTATATTTTTGAGAGACATTGCGATAAAAACAAACATGTTGATGAGTAATGGCTAAAATGAGCATCGGGCAGTGTAAAATATACTAAGTTCTTATAACAAATTATTCGAAATCGGTGCCTTTTCTTACCTTATTGAGTTTCAAAAATATGCAAGGCGCGCTTCTGTGGAAGTTGTACTGGTTGTCGGCCGTGCATGGCGACCAGTTGTCAACGGGCACGTCGCATACTTTGCCTTCTTGAGGATAATTATTGTAATCACAGCTTACACGGTTCTCTACATTTTCATTCTTTCGGTATTCTGAAATAATAAATAAAGAAACAGTTAGCAAAAATGTTTTCATACATCAATATAACCAAATATCACTTTTTCACTTAAGACATCTAATTGACATAAGTATAAATACAATTCAGAGACTGAAAAACAGTTTTCCATACACAATATTCAGAATTATAAACATTGCAACTCTCTTGAAGAAATTGCCAGAATTGGCAATGGATCACTCAAGTGAGAACTATTGATATATTAAAATCTAGCAATAATAATATCATATATGATTAGAGATGGGCTTATCATATCCGAAGCCGGATCGGTTATGATTTGACTCCGCTTCAGAGAGGAGTTATATCCACTTAACAACTCCATGACTCCGACAACTTTGAAACATAATTGGCACAAATGTGTTCTCTAGTGTGGTGTTATCTATAGGATTTATTAAGACTTTGGAATACTTTACAAATAGTTCAAACATTTTGTTCATTTTTTATAACAATTACGATTTTATTGCATTTCAATATGCATACAAATCTCAAATTGACAAAAAACTTGGGAATCAAAATCAATTTTGTAATTATTTTTGAAGAGATTTTTTATATGAATAATGCAGTGAACTTTATATATGAAGTAAGAACAAATCTTTGTGTATAATATTTTTCACAAAATAATAATACCTCACATTCTTTTATTATTTCCTTTTCGAGAATTAATTATACATCAGGTAGTTTGATTAGCATTCTATTACTTTTACACAATTATAAAATCATAATTGTGTAAAAGTTATAATATAATACTGAATTTTTTAGCTGGTTGTATACCATTGAAACAGCTCATTTACGGACACACATTATCGTATACAGAATGCAGAATACAAAATATATACCTGAAAAGTCCTAAACCTGGATGTAAGACCACTTCTTTCGACCTAAATCTTTGTATTAGTAAAAAATCTCGAGCAAATATCTGCACATGTTAATTCGGATTCATTCCTCGGATTCACTCCAAGGGAGGAGTTATATCGGAGTGGTAACTCCGGAGTGAGTTACCCATTTCTAATATGTTTATAATTGAGAGTGTGTGTTGAGCGAACGAATTAAGCCAAATAGCTCATAGAATTTTGTATTCTGATTGATATTAAAAAAAGTTAAGTTTGTGATAGACAGTGGTTTATTGCATAAAAAATTCATGAATCAGGTTTCATGAAAAATGTAGTTAATTCAAATCTTTGTTTTGTGATCACTTTTGACAACATAATTATAACCTAACCAAAGCCAATATAAGTCCAATACTCATAAAATCTAGTAGTCGCCTTTATCAAAGATGTAATTTTTAGATTATTATTGGGTTTGTAAATGGATATTTGAATCTATTGAGATTGCAAAAAATAAGATTGTAATGAAGTTACGAAGATACCTTACTAGTGAAGAGTACGTTTACTTATTCTTTTTCGTTACCTTGCAACAATTTTAAAATAAGTCAATAAAATAGTAATTAAATAAATAATTATCTAAATTGCATTTATTGCATACATTTTATATGTATTTTAAGTAAAACTAACAATCATTAAAGAAATATCTGAAGATTTAAAACTGTGACATTCAGTCACTTCTAGAGTGTCTATTAAAAGCTTATTACGAAGAGCTTTTTCTTGAAGCCCGGCAAATTACAGAGATTTCCTAATAAGAAAGTCCTCATAAAATTATATGGGTTTTATATAGCATATATCGCCTACGATCACGTTTTGATTAGCCCCATCACATTCCCATAAAATAATTCATGTAAGTATTTGAGAAATTCCTTATTATATGGCAGTTATAAAAATGAGCTAGTAATGCAATTTTGAGCTATATGGTAGAGATTTTCTAAAGACTACAGGACAATTTTCAATCGATAATGAGCTTATATGATAAAAGAACATTATTTCATATGTATCTGAATGGCATGCAATCAAAGAAACAAGGTAAACTCAAACTCCCACTTGATAGAATTAAACTTTATAATTTGATAACGCTTCATTAGGTTTATACAAAACAATCTATTTCAACTACCTTCTTAGTTCACCATCAAAGCCTTCGCCATTAGAGAATAATTCATCTCTCTATATTACATATGAAACAGAATAACTATACGAAAACTTGCAGTCAGAGAGGAGAAGTGGCAAAGCAATTCAAACTATGATTTGTTAAAATTAATTTCGCACAAACACTCTGAACTTATGCGTACTCCGGGTCTAAGAGCAACTCGAAACAGAACATCGGATACGAATGATTCGCGTAAACCCACAGTTGTTCATGCAAAGGCATAAGTTTCGCAAACAATTTGCAGCTGAAATCTGTAGTAGGCATTCGTTACATCGTTTCAGGTATCATAGACCTAGTAATGTTCATACGATATATATATATATAGGTCGATTCTACCGTAAAGTAGACCAATGTAATGGCAAGGCTATGTTACGTAGCGTTTTTCATATAAAGTGGTACTAAAAACTGTCAAATAGCTATGTGGTTGCTGTGCAGTCAGGTGTTTTAAATTGGAAACCTAAACCAGAAAAAGCACAAACGTCAAAAAAAAAGAATGTTATAACTTTATGATGTGGCATAATAACATATGAGCGAAGTTACATTTTTTGTGTAAAACTCGACTGCAAAGCAAAAACATAGCATTTGGACAATTTTTAGCACTATTTTATATGAAAAATGCTACGTAACATAGCTTTACCATAAAATTGGTCCATTTTACGGCAGAATCTGTCCCAAATCACGATTCAGTTTATCATGCAAGTAATATTAATCTAATGGAAAAATAATTGATACTATTGAACCACTATTATAACATAATTTTATTAATAACATGGTTGAAAATATGTTTTTACTCTATAATTTTTATATGTACTTTACGTAGGACAGTCATTATTACCAAAATTAAAAATTTAATTATACGACTTTGACAAATGAAAATCAAGTATTTAGTGTAACAAATAGTAATGGAAAAGCCATAAGTTTGCAAAACCGTCATACCATTATACTACACTATATTTTTTAACAAATGCTTCAAGAATAACGAACAAAACAAAAAATATTGTTCTGTATTCAATATGATGAAGTAGAATAACCGCCTAGATTGTGTGACCAAAAATGAATTTGCACACTTAATTAACACGATTCTGTAACTTTGAAAAATCTACATTTATTTAAATCAAATATTTATAATGCAGAGAATCATTTAAAGGTATTTGAATTAATATGTTTACTACACTGCAAAATCCAGCAAAGTCAATATAAAATCTAATCCAGTAACTGTTGGTTCGTGAATAAGTTGATCAAACTTTTACAACCAGAAGAAATTTAAATTCAATCAATACAATGGATGAATTTTGTGCTATGGTACTAAATTACAAGTAAATGAAATATTGTTGAGACATTGAGATGAAGTGCAAATGGTATTCAACTTATGAATAAACTTCCACCCAATATCCAAAACTTAGACAGCAAAAATTTTCATGCGTTCTCAGTTAAACTTTTTAAAGAATTAGCTTTTTATGATATTACTGAATTTTCTCAATTTGATTTCAACAACTATTTTCTTGCATAATCCTTATCCTTTATCTATGTTTTTTATTGCTATTTTATTAATTAAATTTTTTACGGTTTTAAATGAGTATAACTTTCAACCTTGTGCAAGAACTTTGAGCTTAACTGGTGGTCAAATAGATTTTAATATGATGGACTTGATGATGAACATTGTATTTAATGTTCGAATGCTTTTTTTCAGCTCTTTTTCAGAAGCAAAATTCGTGCAGCTACTATGATTATTATAAAATTACTATCCTTTTAATAGTAATTATGAATAAGCTTGACAAGAGCCTGAAATAATATGTATTATTATTGATTACGGCTTGCTTATGAATAAAATAAAATAAAATAAATAAAGCTTTTCTATACGTCTATAAATAAGCAAAGGCCGTGATTAGCGACTAGAACAAATAAGTAATCGTTTCTAGATTAAATTGTTTGACGCAAATCTCAATGACCAAGCGTTACTCAAAGCGGCAATAAAGAACAATTACGTAAAGGATGACTTTACGAAGCTTCTGTTACCATTTTGGAAGATTATTGAATGTTACGATGGTTAAGACCAAAAACCGTGATTTGCAGTATCTATCTATTCATCTATACATGATTTATTATTTATGTCATAAAACATATATCCGCAAAATGAATTTCCATTCGGAAAAGCTACTGTATCAGGTAACAGCATAGTTTGCGAGCTAGAGTAGATGCACATATAGCGAGTAACAAATTTTATTTAATTAATTACATTTGATGTGTCACATATATCTCTTTACATGCATCGTGCTCGTTCGTTCATCATGTTTACAAATGAATATGCTATGTGAACGCCCGTTACATTTACATATACGCCACGGATGCTGCGATGATACCGGTACTCTGCGCAAATTGCAATTGGATAGGATATCATATTTTGCATAGCACATGTTATTTATGCACGGCGGCCTCACGTGTGCAATTTGTTTTCAACTCCTCCATATCGATAGACCAAAAGCTGGCAGACGCTTTATGACCGATAAATCGCCGCCGACAGAGGCAACCCGGTCAGTTCATCTGGCAATTATAGCTTACTGCCAACTGGGGGAGCGCTAATTGAGACATTTAGGGTGCAAACTGATTGATACCAGTAAAATCACAATTAGTCGTTGAAATAAAAAATACAATCAACAGTGTGCATTATTTTTCAAAATTATTGTTTTATTTTCAAGTAGGAAGTATTTTTACTGACATCTGTATCCAATTTTACGGCAAAATTATTTATTGGTACTGATAGTAGTTACGCTTCTTTTTGCAAACAAAGAAAAGTTGTCTCTTCGTTTTTTATAATGTCTAAAATTATTCAACAAAGAAGCAGCATTAAATTTAATGCGCGAAATGAAATATCAGCAGCCGAACAAAATTGCAGAGGGCCTTTGCTGAGAAACCAATATCAAAGGCAAGTGCTTTTGATAGGCA